TACTGTTTGAATGACAGCTTGGTAAATCTGTTGGCAATCAAATATTCAATATCGCTACTCATCATAACTACTAGGGTACATTATCAGCGCAGCGGCAGACGTTCACACTAGTATCACGTAATTTACGTCTCTTTGATGATTGGTTGATATCAGAAGGGAGGCTAGCCTCCCTTGCGAGGGTTCTTTTCTCAACACTCCTCAGCACTGAAAGTGAACACTCGATGCTGATTGGCTAATTTTTTACCAACGGAGGCACGAGAGCTCCGCGCTCCCCCGGCCTCCCCCTCCCCTTCTCTATCACCTAGCGGTTGTAATTACATCAGCAGATTCGGCACATTCGCGATAGAAAAGCGGCGCTTTCACGTTATGATATTACAACTGTGAAATTACAAACAAAAAATACACATTCTGAGACATGAACTGAAATGAATTGTGAATTTTATTAACATTAAATCGTCCTCCTCCCATTTTCACCTCAAAATTATGCCTCCCCCGACGAGCCGCCACTGAAGAAAGTCATATAGGTTTGGAACGACAAGAGGGTGAGTAGACATGATTTTCAGTTTTGGGGACACTAACTCTGAAACAGTATTATGTTTATTATTTAAAACAGGATAAATAATGTATGATGTCGAATAGGCAGCAGATTCAACACTGCTGAGAATCTCCGGCGTCATCACAAACTGCACATGGAACATCATTTGCAGGGATCACATGTGATGCCTTTGAGGCTTATGGGTAACACAGAGCAGATCAAAAGTGTTTGTCTGCAGGCAGTTATTGATGTACAGGAAGGTTCAGTCATGATCTAATCCTCAAAAGAAGGACTTTATCAGAAGTGTGTGCATTGAATCAAGGTCATTGCCTCGAGGGTTAAATCACTGATGTCCTTCTTTTAGAAGTGTTTCGTATTATATTAATTGTACTGAACATGTATCAAAATTAGTCTTTGAAAATCACAGGTTTTCACCAGCTACCACTAGGGGTTGAACGACTTCTGATTTTTTGAAGTCGACTTTTATGTGATGAAAGTCGAGTCGAAGTACCACTAAGGAATGACATTCTGACAGCAACCGGTTGCAGTCTAACAGTTAGTCTTACAGCCGACCCCCTAATGACATCACACAAAAGCACTTAAGCATTGAGGAAAGTGTATATTTGATGAGAGAGTGCTCTGTAGAAAAGCACATTTTAAAGAGAGGTGCCTTTGTCAATCACAGCTTTGTCTCGCAGACTCTGCCAACATCATGGCCCATTTTAGACATCAGAGGTACACTGCACAGATTAAATTAGCCTAGTTAACTTATGCACTGAACTAGTTTCAAGCCCTGTTAATTGCATGATTCCCTTGCATATATACTGTATGCAGTTTAATTACACTGCAGTATTTCATTCAGGTTATGTGCTTTTATGCATACTTTTATTAAATATTGTTTGCTCATTGTGTATTTCTTATTATTTTTCTTATTGTGTATTGCTTATTATTGCTTAAATCATTTTAGATTTTTTATTAATATTTTCTCTCTTCATTATGCCTTTGTAAAGTAAATGTTAAATTATAGTATTTAAAATGTGTGATATAAATAAACTTGCCTTGCCCATATTCACCAAAAGTCTATATATTACTATCATTTCACATTATACATTTACTGTTCAAACAAAGTTTCAGTCCATATGCTCACCAAGGCTGCATTTATATTAGCATTAATATTTTAAAATATTATAACTATTTAAAATACCTGTTTTCTATTTGAACATAGTTGAATATAATTTTAATATTTTTGTGGAAACTGTGATACAATGTTTTTGTGTGATACATTAATTATTTGATACACAGAAAGTTAATAAGACCAGCGTTTGTTTGAAACAAAAATCTTTTGTAACATTATAAATGTCTTTACTGTCACTTTCGATCAATTTAATGCATCCTTGCTGAATAAAAGTATTATTTCTGCTGCTGATATCCAGTGAAATCCTATCCTCATGAGCTAGGAGGGTTGTTTTCTTTACTTTTTATTCTTTTGCATTATTTTCATTTATTTTCCCATATTTTGCCTAGTCATGAATGATGCTGGCCTTGCAAGCACATACTTTTGATTATTGTCATACTGTATACATCGAGACTAATGGGCATAACATAAACCCAGCTGAACAAAAGACAGCATACAGTACCTCCTACTGAAAGCTCAGCTAGTTTATCAGGTAGGTCGGCAGCTCCAGGACCAGCCGTGGAACCTAGAATATCTGGCAATGCATTCCGCCGGCCAGTCCTGCCCGTGGCTGCAAAGTCAGAGACAACAGGTTCCACATCAGTCATCTCTGGTGGTCTTCATAGCATCATCTGAAACAAACCAAACAAAATGCACTCAATCAGTGACTGGCATATGAGGGTTAAACTAGAGGATTGTTTAACAGTTCACATAGTTCTACGTCATATGATACAATACTAGGTTAGCAGAACTCAAAAAGTTATTAAATTTAATGTACTCTCCAAGATTCAGTTTGTAGAACCTAAGATTTGGAATTATTTTACACAAGCAAAAAATATGACTGATAGATATGATGGGGTTAGTTTTCAGTTTCCTTATCAAATTCTGTGTAATTAATAAAATAACATAGCCAGTTGGGTCACAAATTTACATTTTCTAAAGAAAATGGAAGTGTTTTGCCAGTGCAAAGGGAATTCTTGGTAGAACTTTTCATTTTGGTTTTGTTCTAAACATATTAATTGCACTTAACTTTAAATATTGACTACGGTAACCCATTAAAATTTAATTGGTAGATATGATAGGGTTAGTTTTCAGTTTCTTTTTCAAATTCTCTGTAGTAATACAAAATAACATAATAACCAGCTTGTTCACAACTAGAGTTTTACATTCTCTAAAGAAAATGAAAGTGTTGCTTGCCATGCAAAACTTGTTGCTATGTTGCCAGGGTGCTGCTGTGTGGTTATTTACTTCTGAGTGCTTTTTAGCCTGTTGCTATATGAACAAATTAATATCCATACTTACTAAGCCATGTCAGTGTGAATTAATATCCATATTTACTAAGCCATGTCAGTGTGAATCAGCATCATTTTAGGCAACGACTAATAGAAACTGATGATAGCAGTCCTCTATCAATGTTAATCAGTCAAAAGTACAAAAGCAGCAACAGCGTCAAAACAAGCTGAGCTTTTTCTCTACTGCATCTCTAATGAGACTGTCCTCCTCTCCAGGGAGTGACTGAACCGAAACGCTGACTACTCCTCATCTCCCCACACACCACCCACCCTGCTTACCTTCAGCCGCATGACAACATCCCTCATCATTTACTAAAAGGCCTACTGCGGCATTGGGTTTCACATTTACCATTCTCTACACCTCATTGCAAGACGGAGTGGCTTTGAGGAATTTTGGCCAGTGTCATTTCTGGGATATACACTGTGTCAAGGAGGATTGCAAATAACATTCATTGTGCTGGCAGTACAAGACAGAATTTCCAAACTGCTTGGCAATGCTTTCAATCAGCAGAAACGCTTGATTGGCCTTTAGTTAAAGGGGTCATATGATGCTGCTAAAAAGAACATTATTTTGTGTATTTGGTGTAATGAAATGTGTTTATGTGATTTAAGGTTAAAAAAACACATTATTTTCCACATACTGTACATTATTGTTTCTCCGTTTCTGAAACGTGTCGATTTTTACAAAGCTCATTGGTCTGAAAAGCGAGGTGTGCTCTGATTGGCCAGCTATCCAGTGCGTTGTGATTGGCCGAATACCTCAAGCGTGTGACGGAAATGTTACG